GCGTTCAGTTAGTTGGGGCACAGCACGAAAAACGGCGAGCGAAAAAATAGGGCGAACGCGCTTCTCTCTTATTTTTGCGTTCAGCCGTTTTTCGCGCAGCGCCTGAACTAACTGAACGCCTGGGAGAGGCTACATTATTACGCATCGATTCCCGACTGACCCAAAATCCAAAAAAGTGAGATAGACTGGACGTTTACCTGTCTTTGAGATGTTAGTGGCATCTAGCAGATAAGCACAGTTCTTCACAAGATAACCAGCAAACAGGACAAACAAACCCTTCAGCTTCACAGCCACACTAAAGGAAAACAAACAGTTCAAAACTGAAGTCAGCTCAAAGGCTTCCTTGATCTTTCCAACCCAACTGAGGGGGATGGGTAAGGTACAATGCGTGACGAAAAGAGTGGAAAAGAAAGGGTGATACTGTGTTAATTTATGTAGAGAATGTACAAGAATGCACGTATAAGAATGTGCACGAATGAATAAGAACATGTAAAAGTATGTCGTAAATTATCCGTCCTTAGTCGGTTGAGAAATGGAGAGATGTAACTCGACGGTTATAATCTCTTTGGCATTTGAGCGTTTCTTCTTTGAATGCTCTTCTCGTGCTGTTAAGCTGGGGGAAAAGAATGAAAGAAAAAAGGAGGGGGGAAGACTAACAAACAGAAGAAGAAAGAATCCATGGTGAGCGGGTGTAGACAAATCACCTGACGAGTTAACAAGAAAGTCTNAGCATAAGACGAACACTTACGCTTGTGTCGGACCATCCCCACTAGCGCATAACCTTCTTCTGCTTATGCTAGCGTCGCAAGCGAGGACAGGGCTTAAGCGATGGAAAACTCCCATGATTTTCACTCAACTGTTCACTCAAACTATGAAACAGATACTTACCTGAGCAAAATTAATCGATCCTTTAATTGTACTTCAACAGACGAGTGCTTTGTAACCTCGGCTTGTTTCTGCTGGTCCTCAGTAGCCTCCCCTCCAATAAGCGATGGTCTCGTTACCTGCACCAAAGTATTATTAGTTACCAAATGGATCAGGGTATACGTCTAAAAACAGCTGAATTGCATCAACAGGGATTTTACAATAACTCCAAAAACTCTCGCACGCTCATTAGCTAATTTTCATTGTCAATAAGCGGACGGACACATGAATTTATGACGCAACGAGCGCCGACAGCAGACAATTTGACGATTTGTTATTGTAAAAAACAAATTTTGACGGCAGTTTTTCATTCGTCTGTCTTGTCATTGACAATGACTTTCGTCATAACATTGTCAAAGGAGTCTGCGTATCCACTCGGCTGTCGCCTCGTGGATCTACAGCTACTTTAACAATGTTATGACGAAATTAAGATCAATAACAGGACAGACGCCGGAAAAACTACCGTCAATTTGTTAAAGTGACAACAACAGTCTAAAATATCGAATAAAAGCTAAAGAAATAAATTAATCACAAATTTGGATAAAGCTAGTTGACTTTTCGAGCAGAGATACTCATCGTAGCAACTTATCTACAGTGCGATAACTGATTGCCACTGCTCCACAAATCGTATGTCCCACTCACACCAACTAAACTAGGTTCAGGTTTTTTCAATTTGTCGATAACGCTTTCCAGTCATCTCGAGAAGACAAATTTCAAACCTCCTCGCTACGATATTTTAATCAAATGGGTTTTAACCTTGTTTAGTTGTGGGTGCACACTGTATGAGGAACTAATTTTTAACCTTGCTCAGTTAAACCACTTGTTTAACTTGTTCGTGCGAACAGGGAATTAGTTCCAGGAAGTTTCCTTTCACATGCTGTTAAGACATCTTGTTAAAAATAAATTATAATAGTTCGTTTTGCCAGTAAAGCCTGGAAACTTCTGCGAATGACAGCAAACAAATCACCAATTTTCTAAGCGGGTGCAACTCGGAGAATTCTTTGAGTCTAACAAAATCAAGGCCATTAAAGATGAAGACCAAATACTTATTGACTGAGTTAGGTTCGAGCTGGCCGGGAAAATACTTCATTTTGCATGCACCTTGCTAAGCTCAGTCCGAGACCCTGAGGGAAATAACTTCCGTTCGGTCCTGCCACTGAGTCAATAAGCTCAAACAATTTCAATTACGCTGTAGAGAACCTACCTGAATTAAGATATCAACTAAATAAGGACTGAGAAAGTGAGGCAACGCTTCGGTAGCCTTACACAGAGCTGTCACGCAACACAGCGTCAGAAGATTGTTCCTGAAAAGAAACGATCATTACAAGTTAATAATTAAAATGGAAATAAATTCCTTCCAGCCATAGATAGATCCCAATAAGTTAAACACAAATTATTCTTTACAGGGTTGGTTTAGGGTGTTAACCTACCATATACCAAGAGCGCTTTCTGTTCAACCAAAAATTCCAGAACTTTTGAAACGGGGCCAAATGGTACAAAAATCTCCTTGGAAAGTTCCCGGAAAATCTGAAAATTGTTAAATTTCCGGAATGCGAGCTATTTCATCGAAAAATCCAGAAATTGAGGATGAAAATCAAATGGAACAGAAATTCCTGGTAATACAATACAACCCATTACCAGTAATTGTATTTTCTGTAAAGAACTGTATCGAGTATTGTATTGCCAGCATAAGTAACCCGTATTGTAAGTAACGTAAGTATGTATTGTAGAACTGTGTTTTGTAAATTAAAATTATTAAAAAAAAAAAAAAAGAAATTCCTGGTAATATATGTTCGGAAATTTGGGTATAACCCACGGGGTCGCCCCTTTTTTTCGCCACTGGAAGTTCCCGGAAATAAAAAAAAACAGAAGTTTTGAAAGCGTCTAAAGATTTAATCTGCTATATATGAAGGCTAAAGTTGCCGGCGCAAGAGGGGCATGCTACATGAATATGACAAAAGGCCATGTGGCAGCGAGAAAATCATGTGCTGTTCAAACAATGAGACATGACGTGGAAGAGACAATTGCCAGCAACACATGACCTTGTGTGAAGAACACATTCTTACTAATAACTTAGCTGCTGAGAGTCACTGCGGCCTGTCACTGCACCTTTCGTTACGCTCTGTAACTTTCCTTGCTTTTGTAGTATATTGTTGTATTTTTTAATTTTAAATCGATTTCATTTAACGGGTTGACTTCCTTCTTAGTTATTAACTTGTATGATTGATATAATACACCGATCAGTACTTTTCAGATGGTGCGTCATAGAAAAGAATCAAGTTTATATTTGTTAACTTAACATACAGGACAATGTTTCCGCCGCAAGCAACTCTTACGCTTCTTTCGTGCCCCCAAACTCCCCGCGTGCACCAGAACTCGATGAAGCACATTACAGGGCTATTTCGTTGTTGCGTCTTACCTCTGTGTCAAAACGAATCGAAACCATTTATATGAAAATGCGTTTGGACTACAGGTTCATTTTCATTCAAATCAAACTCATTTTCATATCCATGATATGACAGGTTTTGCAAGAAGACTCGTTTTGAAACAGAGGGGACAAAAGGTAACTCGGAAATGGCCCATTGCTTAGAAATGCTTGCAGCCTAAAAATTATCTAGGGATAAAATGAAAGCGTAAAAGGGGCCAGTGAAGGGGATTAGGAAAAAATGGACTTTAAAATTCAGGTTTAATTTTCCAAGTGCGTATAACAAATGAATGTTCTGTACCTTTCGATCCCAGTCCTTTTGAGTAACTTGATGACAGACGGCACCAACTGGGGTAGGAACGGAATGCAGTGTGCCTTTAAACCGCCGACCGCTTCTGCTGCACAAAGTAAGGCACTGGAGGCAACCTACGAGTCAGGAACACAATATTGACTTAACAACTGCATCATGCTGTATGGAAGATGGGTGCCTGAGATATCCAGGGGCCTCCACTGTGACAAGCTGGCCCCTGGACAGTATAACGCTCCCATGGCTGGCAATCCCCACAACCCAGCCATGAGCCCCCATGCAGTCTTCCAGGCACCCGTCACAGAAAGATGTCGATGAATAGACCAAAACGACCGTTCCAGGGACCGCCACGCTGGAACACGCCAGTACAATGGCGAAGAGCACTGAACATAGCATACCATACGAATACCGCTGACCGAAACTACTAGCTACTCTTTGTTGTTAACTTTGTCAAATTGCATTTAACAGCATTTAAATAACAGAGTAGCTGCGCGATATCGGTCCAGGTTAGCATTATCCTATCACAAAGTTTGCCATGAAAAGGTTTACCGATGAGGACCTGGTGAAATGCCCAATTCTTCCTGTGATACGCGCCTGAAAAGAATCATGGCAGTTGCAGTCAACGGTGCCAAGTCTAACACCCCATTCACACCAATTAAACTAGTTTAACTAAATCAGGTTTAGGATTTTACAGTTTGTCGATTTCGCTTTGCAGTAATTTTGAGAAGACAAATTGCAAGCCACCTCGCTACCATATTTCAATCAAACTACCATGATTTCCTGCAGGCATTTTCGTAGAGGAAATTGAGCGTTGTTTACGATTCGGATCCTGCAACATTAACGTCACTACAGATTTTTTTGTCTACCGATACTATAAAACGCTTATGCAGACCGCTAAAGGAAAACATAGATCTGGGCTCAAAGGAATTATAATACATCACCACGTTCTCCCAACTAGCCTGAGAAATTTATGCAAGACAGTAAAAGAGAGCCAACACTAATTCACCTGTGTATTAGCATCCTTGGAAGAGAACACCTCAATTGCTGCAGACATCACCTGAACATACAAATTAATTATTAACATTATTAGACGAGGTTGAGCAAAATATCGTTATTTGTCAGTGGCGAGCAGATCTATTATTTGTCGAACCCGAAGGCTGAGCCAAATAACTGATCTGCGAGACACCGATAAATCACGATATTTTGCGATAACCGAGTTAAATAATAATAATTTTATCATTCGATCACCAAGTTCGTTTTCATATTTAAATCACTCTCTGACAGTTAGCTCAAGGAAGCGATCCGCCATTTTTCACACAAGAGCTGGATACAATTACGCATGAGCAGAATTGTATTTCCAGATGGTACTACGCGTAAGCAGACCATTATTTGTAGCCAGTTGTTTGCAGGTCATGCAGTGGGTTCTTGGCCAGTGAAAAGGAAGAAAAAAGGCATCGAACAATAACAATTATTATTGAACATTATTGCGCCAAAGCATAACGACGTTTATACAGTACATAGAGAATTGGAGTGACGAAGACAAAAATACTACACCACGAGAGAATTTCACTGAAAATTCACTACGAGGGTTGGTTTCGTTAGGAGCCCGTTTGCTTTATCCTACGGTGATTCAACTATTTTGTGAGTCTCCTTCTATTTGTATATTTCCTGCAATAGGGTTTTGTTATTTATTCTGTATTTATTATTTTATTCTGTATGTTAACTACAGTTATTCCCTTTGTTCCAAATTGCGGTGAAAGCGTTTAGCCTAAGTTCGTGAAAAAAAAAAAAAAAATCTTGGAACTTTGCTCTTTTTTTGCAACGAGAGAAAACTCATTCACGATATGAACAAAGCAGCATTTGTGTCACTGTTTTAACTTGAATAATCTTCATTTGATCAGACAACAGGGTACAGACAGATTAATTGACAACAAATCTACGTACCTCCTTAAACTCGCCAGGATAATCCTTGCACAGCAATCGTGAAAGAAGCTTCAAACTGTACAGTGCTGTTTGTTTGTTTATAATGGACTCCTCACTCTCTCCAGTGCCCCTCGATATTACCAGTAGCTCGGTTACTAAGCTCAGCAGTGCCTTCACCTGTAAATAACAAATTTTACCAAGAATATTTAACATTGTTTCTGTCAACAAAACAACATCTTGCATAGAGACAGGTGGAAATGAAAAAGAATTCAGAAAGAAGAAAACGTATCTCAGAACACGAACATTAGGGGCAGTTGACAAAGAAGCTTCCCCCACTGCCGGTTAATGTGTTTTTGTGCGCCTCTAAACGTGTTATTAAACTTGTTTATGATGTTTGCTTTTTGCCAGTTTTGTTTTGCCCTGTACTTCAGACGCTAAATCTTGTTCCCTGTTCGGCCCATTTATGTGACAAGACTCAAAGAATAGTTACGTTGTTCTTTGTTAAATGCTTAACGTGTGTTAATCGAGTAACGGAGAGGCAGAGAACTTCTAGCTTCATAACTGTTCTCCACACTTCCTAGCTGCATAAATAATTCGATGAACTGTGCTAACTCGTGGGCTTTTACCGTCAATACCAATTGTCACAAATTACATTATCGAACATTCGGAATTCACCCGGCAGAAATGACTGCACTGCAAACTAACCTGTCAAAAGAACACTTGTGGGTCAAGACACTTGATAAACTATAAGAAATACCTGATCACTGGGATAGTTGCCAGCACTGTTGCTCAGTTTACTGTTCAGAAGTTCCATCGCTTTGCGTCTCACTGTACTGTTGTTACTGTGAAGAAGCTTGTTGATGACATCAAAAAACACTGATGCAGGTAAAAGGAGATTGACCTTTGAAACAGAAGGCAATAAAATAGCTGGTCAAATGTCACCTCATAGGTGATTTACGATTGAACTTAGACTGAAACAGGAGGTTTGGTATAGCTGATTTTTGCAAAAAAATTTCGGACGTTTGATTTTCGGACACTATTTATCTCATTTCGGACAAATTTCAGACAACAATTTCGGACACTTTGCTGAAACATAGCCAAAAAAAATTGAAGCCTACAAAACACGAATTACACTGAAACAGCATCTGTGAAAATGATAGTTTTTCTGCAGCCTCAATGTTTTAAGAATACACCGACGAGACAATAACACAAATTCTATCAAGGCGTCACGTTTGTCAAGCAGTGTTCGCTCCATAAAGCCCGGCATAAATGAAACTAAGAGCTTTGGAGCTACTTCAAAGGTTATACTATACTGTAAATATTTCAGACGGCTTTATTTTCGCACACTTTTTTGTCCGAAAATAAAATTGTCCGAGACATTTTGCAAGTAATGTACACACAATTTGTGTTAAACGATAGTTCGATTAGACACAAGTCAAACGGATCGAATATTTAGCAATCAAAGTTGATAAAACAGCTAGATTTGATTGGATTGTGATCAGTAATCACGCAAAAATTCTGAAGAAAGTTCAATTCTGTTTATGTGAATGTTTGACGATGTTTAACTTGGCGAGTGAACAACCTCACGGTTTGAGCATCTAGAAAAATTCATAGCCCATTTTTTGTTAAGTTTGTCGTTTGTAATCCGTGGTAATCTTCTCCATCCTTACTCATCCTTGTTCCTTTATGGTTTATTATTATCTCTTTGGTGTTTTTTCATCTTAGTAAACAATTATTTTCAGGTTTCCTCCATTTAAAGACAATTTTGTACGTGGCCAATATAACTCAAAATGCCGTAAATGAGCTCTCTTGAGGCAAGAACGTACTAGGCAACCGTGACACTTAACGATCTTGTATCCATAACAATGACAGGCAAGTGATGGGCGAAATTAGAAAGGAAACGTGACTAGAGATTAGTAATCTTAGAAAACAGGAGGGAGGTGGGATTGGGGGTGGGGTCTCCACAAAATAGTACAGGACGTAAATGCACTAGCGATAATTAGTACAATTCTACTAATATACTAAGGCAAATGCTGTAATCGGATTGGCTGAGCTATTGCAAACTATCAGTCATTAGTGTGCAGAGGGTGGTGTGGTCGACAAAATTCAGTTGCAACGTTTCCTTGTTTCTCCGAAGTTTTGAAAGAACATTTAGAAATAAATGGACAGTCAAATTCCTAAAAAGACTAAAAGGAGGGCATTTACGATTTCTTGAATTAAAAAAGCTCGAAATTTTTGAAAGAAACGGCTGATAAGCGCGCGTACACAACTGCAAATGCCAAATTGACAATTCAGTCCGAGCGTGAATTCAGTCTAAAGCGTGAAGTTTAAGACTAAGACCAGAAATAATTGGAATCGTTATTTGAAGGAAAGTCCACTTAGAATTCTACTAAAACAATCAGATTATTCGCTCTCGATTTCTATGAGGTGATAGCTGATAAAGCCGAGGGCCGAATCAACTATCACCTCATAGAAATCTCGAGCTCATAATCTAATTGTTAATTATTGCAGACTAAAAGCTATAGACTTGTCCCCAAGGAGTCACAAAAGAGCCTTCTTTAAATGGGAAGGTGGGTGCAACATTTACCACAAACACCTAGTAGACACTTTGCGTGATTTTTGATACCTTGTCAATAATTTCATAGGTCTTATGCAGCAAAGCTTTCCAAAATTTCCCAGTAGCATCCTGCGATGCTTGCTCGCCATGTTGTGCCGTTTTCGTCATAAAGTTCAAGGTGTCCTCTAGAAGCCTGAAGAGGAATAAACATAAAACTAGTATTGAATGTTGCTGAAAAATGCTTTTAAAACATGTAAGAAACAAATGCGAAAATCTCAGTCCAACACGTTTACCAAGGGTCACATAGCAGTTAACCGATATGCTTTGCTGTGGTCCAATATACAATAATGGACAAAAAACTTCGGACAAATGTGCTTCTTAGCGCTTTTGCACACACGCCAGACGCGAATACAACTTCAGCTGCTTAACTTCTCCCCTCAACCCAGACACAATGTGGAAAACTAGTACCTTCAATTTCTCCTGAGTTTCAACATTGTATTGGGTGGGGAGGTGGGGAACAGCATTACGTTTAAAAATAATTAGCAATAATTTTCTCAAACCTCAGTTTTAAAACAATGATAATTCGTTAAATTACTGTACATCAGTGTCTCAACGACTTTTGTCGACGATTGTTGGTCAAGTTACTTCTAATGCTTCTGTCACAATAGATTCGCCTCCTAGAAGAATTTACCACAAGAAAACAACAACAACAACGACAAGCAAAAGAGATTACCTGAGGAAGAGAGAATTTAACACTTCTCCTTCAACGTGGACCTGTAGTACAAGATCGAACAGTGAGGGTCAATTATTAAAATACAATCAAGCACTTAGTAGAAAATATTTAAGAAAGAATAAAAAGTCAGAAACCGTGCCCCGCGATTGCCAATCCATGTGTTTTCGACAATTTATAACACAATTATTATCTTTAACACACTGCTCAATTTTCAGACTGCATTAAATTTTGTATGGATTTCCTTTAAAAATTTTTGAATTCTTAAAAGCTTAAAAGCTTTTGTTCACAACTTAATGTGTCTCCGATGTTTTATTTATAACACATAACTTATTACTGACCTTACTGACAAACTCCTCGCTGTCAAGAAGTGAAGGAATGAGGCTAAGGGAAGTGTATTTAAACTGCCTGAGGTGTTTAGCTGAGTGGGTGTCCACGTCAAACAGAGGTGTCACAGCCAGAAAACTGCTGGCACCCTTTCTAGACATTCTGGGCTTGCGACGAACTGTAAAGAGTCAGTCGAGTCAAAAGAATAAAGGTCTCAGGCGTGATAAACAAATGACTTATTGAAAACCTCTTTAATCAGTAACAAATTACATAAATAAACTTTTATCACCTAATACTCCAAGACAGCATCCCTGCAAGGTGTGTCTTACAGAAAAGGGATTTCTGATTTTCAGTGGCATCCAGAATCAGAAAGGTATCTCAACTCATGTGATTTGTTTTTCTCAGGAGGATATTTCCTTCAAACACGGGGAATACACGTTTCATCACACACTGGATGTTACAGATTACGTACGGTTTCCACAGTTTTAACCAGTGGCAAGTAAAATAAAGTACATTAACCACCTTTGTACCTTCTGGTTTTTCAAGTGGTAGCTGATCAATGTACTGCAACAGTTTTAACATAGCCTCCACCTATAAACAACACAAACAACTGTTTACAACACACGGTTACAAGCAGGATTGTCAGAAGTAGTAGTTTCTGCCGTCGAAAATCACGATATACTTAAAATACCAAACCTGATTGGCTATTCCTCTAATTCGTTAGAAAAGATGGCAACTTAGCCTGCAATGCAGGCGTATTTTAGCGAACGAGCGCATTTTGATCAAGCAAGCGCCATCTTGGATTCAAAATCGGAAGAGGCTTGGGGAGATACAAAGAGGCGTGGCAGCCAATCTACTCGATCGCGAGCTAATACTGATAACAGGCTAACTGCAACTCAGTCAGCTCCTCCAACAAATGTTGTTTTACTAATGTTTCAGTTAAACGCGACTTCCTGAAAATCGCAAAAATTAGTACCCAGCAGCAAAAATAAACTCCCGCAAAAATTTGGTGTCACACCGTAACCTACAAACCTAATTACTTAGACCACTGTAGTTCGCGTTTCTTAGTACAGTGGAACCCCGTTAATCCGGTCACCAACGGGCCACAAAAATCTGGCCGTATTAACGGGGTGGCCGCATTAAAGGGGTTCTTATAAGAAAATGACTGACTGAGTTTTTTTTGGGCCAGAATAAAGTGGCCGTAAAACGGGGTGACCGTATTAATGGGGTGGTCGTAAGGCGAGGTTCCACTGTATAAAATTACCGTTTACGCTTTCTCACTCAATGCCAACATTTTCTTTCCTTCAAATAGGTTACCTGAACATTTGCATCGAAGCTGTTGCAAAGCCTTAAACAAAAGTCTGCTCCAAGTGGGTTTTTAGCAACTGCAGTCTACAACACAAGAAAACAAATGTCCATTAAATGATTGAACTTTATTCACTTAACCCAAGTTGAATTAGAAAGGTGTTTACTTCTTTACTTTCAGAAACCACTAGCCACTAGTGATGTGTTAATTGGCGAAAACGGGGAAGTGTGTGTGGGGGCGGGGGAAGGAGGGTTGGGGTGGGGTAACCACTGCCTATGGTGCACGTGTGTACCTTCACTCCATTTCCTTCAGCCAACTAAATTTGTACCACATAAAATTTGACAGTGAAATAGCTAATTTAAAGGCAGAAAATATGAATTCTTATTGGACAAAATAGAAATAAACAACAAAATAATAAATATATAAATTACAGTATTTAGAGCCAGCCTTAGCTGGTTTTCAGGCGGGTCATCTATCGAATCGGAATTTTAAGGGCTGGTTTTTTGTGGAGGAAGGAAAACCAGGGAACCTGGAGAAAATCCCTCGGAGCAAGGCGAGAACCAACAACAAACTCAACCCACATATGACACCAGGCCGGAATAGAATCTGGGCCACATGGTGGAAGGTGAGCACTCTTGCGACCGCGCCATCCCTGCTCCCCAGAGTTTCATAGTTTCAAGCGAAACCTCCTCGATATGCCCCGGAAAGAGGGTAAAAAAATCATTTGCATTACATTTGCACAATACTGTGCTCATACTAAAACTAACCTGGTTTTCATCAGGAGTAGCTTGACTATGAACAACGTGTTTCTCCAGTAAGAGAATGACAGCCGTGTGAAGGAACTGGGTTGAGCCAACAGTGCAGATGAGATGTGTGAACAGTGGCAGCTGGCGGTGCTCAGGAATGTGAGGTGACGCGTCTACAAACACTCTTATTAACATGGCCACAATGTCATTGAGTGATATAGAGTCCTTTTTAGTCAGCTGTGGTAACTGTTCTCTCTCACCGGCCTAGAATGTAACATTCATTTCAGACTCCAAGCAGG